CTGGAGGAGAGGTGGGCAGTTTCTTTACATAAAAATTAAATGTGCACTTAGCATGTGACCTAAACACTGCGTTCCTGGCCATTCATCTCAGAGCGGAAACCTCCGGTCATGCGGAATCCTCGTGGCAGCTTAGTCACAGTGACCCCGAGCTGCAGGCAACGCAGGTGTCCTTCACTGGGCAGCTGTGTTCACATCCACCATGCGCACACACACACCCACACACCACAGATACACATATACACACACACACTACAGACATAACACACACCAGAGACACACATACCCCCACACACATACATACACACACCACACACACATATACATACACACCCCCACAGACACACACACTCACACACACACAGAGACACACACACCCAGGGCAGGACAGGAGAATTCGAGCAGTTCACCCCACGTCGACCCCCGACCTGGTGCGGGTGGTGGACCGTTTGGAGCAGACAGAGGACACGGCTTGGGACCCCACAGTCCATGAGGGTAGTTAAGCTGGGAAGGGATTCGATCCCTCCGGAAAGTTTACGGCATAAGGAAAGGCGGGGCTGGAGGGGGCCGGGGAGCTGGGGACAGGGTGGGAGGTGGTCTGCTGCCGGGGCGGTGGGGACAGTGCTCATGGCCGCGGGAGGCAGGACAGAAGACGGCATGTGGTGACAGGCCGGAGTAGGGCCCGCTGCGGGACGGTGAGGTCCGCCAGGGACGGCAGCCCAGCCCGTCTGGGAAGAGGCCTCCTGGCGGTCAGCTTGCGGATGTTCAACGTGTCGGCTAAATCGCGCACATTTTCTTAACTCACACACTTGCACCATTGCAAAAAATATCAGTTTTTCCACCCAAAAATATGTGTCCAGTGCCTACCGAGTGCCAGGCGCTGTTCTTGGCCCGCGAAGGTCTGGTGAACCAAGCCGCCAGCCAGGGCCCCCGGGACACTGCACGGAGCGGGAGGCGACCGGGAGCCCGGTCGGGAGTACAGGACACGCACTGAGCCGGGAGCCCCGCGGGACGGCCAGACTGCAGGGAGGATGAGGAGGCGGCGTCTGCCTGTGCCACACTCCAAGGGGCGACTGGGTGGGTTTCTTGGGGCTGTCATGACACAGTCCCACAAACAGGGTGGCTTCAC